CGTCAGCTAATCTATGCAGTGTGCGTATCGCAAGGTAGGGAGTGGAGGCGACTTTAAACGTCACTGTATTTAGTTCGTATACCACAATGTTTTTACCGTGAAACCAAAAGACTCACTGATAACGCTTATCGTTGGAGTGCACGAGTACCTGCATGTCCATTTTTTTAATATCCGCGGTCAAAACAAACGCGTGAGAACGAAAGCGCAATAAGTGCGTAAACTATTTGGGCTGAATAGTCGGTCCCACGAGCAGCTTGTAGCTTAATGAAATGCTTTGATCCGTTTTTACGCACGCGTCGAACACCACGTGTACCTTTGTCGTGTTACGCGATGCCTTGACGACCACGTGATATGGTAAACAGTATCTGTCCGTGTTTTCGTTTTGAACCAGCGTCATGAGACCCAGCGTTATATACTCGTAGAGTACTTTCGTGTACTAGTGACAAAGTTCTGGGTCTGCCTGCAAATTTTGTTGCATCGTGTGAAAACGCCGAAGGGCCTGTGCATGAGATTTTCCTAATTGAGGTGACTCTTCGCTAAAGGGAAGTCGCCCAACATATCGTCCCGTAATGTCACGTGTCGTGTGTTCGCTATGATGACGCTCGCAAGTTGAATCCTTTATCGCTATTGGGGCCTCAGATTTGATCTCCTCTATCGTCCAAAATTTTGTAAGCTGTTTCGTCAAACGCGTTAAATTGCACGACGCGACCTATTTTTCCTTAATCTCGCGCAACCCACCCGCAATCGTCCGTCCCAACTGCGTTTTCTGCAAAACCAAGTCACTCCCTTTACGTGAGAGATTGATTTGACTGACCGATAACAGTGATAAAGTGGCTCCCGAAACAATCAACATATCTATTCCTCACGGAATGTGAAATTGTGGGTCAGCTAATTTTAAATTCGACAGGATGTTGATTGACGCGTGTGGAAAGAGTTCGTCTGGTACAAAATCTGCAATCTTAGGAATAATGAGAAAGGTCACTGTTTTGAAAAAATAACTACACAAATATTATTCAATCGCGTATCAGTACGAAACATAAATTTAAATTATTTTATCAATGATACTACAGATGGGTGTGTGATTCTCTCTCAAAAAATCAAATTTTACAGCAAAAAGCGATTTGCTTTCGATGGTATTTTCGTTAATAAATATGGCAAAATCATGTATGAAACAATTTATTTAATTAAAAAAAAGCTCAACTTTTCGATCAATGCAATGAAAATGAATTTTGAATATTTTTTTTTTTTTAATTTCGTTGCCAGTATTTGGTACAATATTTGTCGCTACTGTCGAATTACTGGCAGTGATTCGGTAATGTACAGCCATCTAACGTAACAAAGTCATCAACCACGAAAGCCTTTTGCTTAGTATTTGTCTTGAAATTCTGAAGATATTTTTCAATCAGTAAACAAAAAGAAGAGTATAACTAAAACTCTATCTTGTAATAGGAGCATGTTGACTATTCGCAAATTTATTATCAATAATATTATCTTACTTATGTCCAATTAAAAAAATCTTTTATTGTTTTTTATTAAATAAAGTTGATACTAAAAAGAATGTATTATATTGATACATTCTTCTTTTTCTTACCATACATTAAAGTAGCCTAAGTCAAAAAAGTGCCAGTAATACCCACAGCTACCCTAAATACTTAAAACCACAGATACCATAACATAAATTTGAACGATGGCAGCGTTAAAACCAGTGTAAAGCAAATGTGGATCAAAATATTACTGAGATTCGAAGCTTAATACCGAGTTTTCTATGAAAAAAAGCGTATGTTCTAAAGAATCGTTGATAGGAAAAACTTTTTAGGTAAAGGTAGCCCGCATTAGTTCTGTGTATTAAGTAGATTTTGCTAATATGATAAAATTCTAGAAATAATTAAGCAAATCTGCTATTTAAATAATTAAACCCAATGTTGGCCAATTTCAGCCCTACCATGATAGAAAAAACATGCACACCAGTACAAAAAAAACAGCTCTTCAAATGATGATGCAAAACAAAATTTAAAATCCAAGTATTATAGTATTGTTGAACACTAAACCATTTAATCTAGATTAAAAAAATATAACTAAAACTTCGAATGAACTGCTCACTTATCCTTTAAAATACACTTAAGTAATTAACGTAAATAATAAAGTTACAATAATATGTGATAAGAAAACTAGTATATGCAGTGTGTACACTAAAAAGGCAGCAATAGAAAAAAAGAATGAAATAAAAGTCAAGCACCAATATGCAAAGTATAATGATCTTATGAAAAAAATTATTGGACATAATAAGTAACTATACAGATTTGTACTTTAATACGTTGAGTGCAAAGAATTAGGTACAGTTAAGCTACGAAGCTTCTCTTTCTTTCCCATAATGTTTGTTATTTAGGTGCTTTGTTGAAGTTGGGGACCCTAATGATACTAAATTTATCAAGAATTTTAACAGGTAGATGGATAAACTATCATATCTTTAACTTTTAAATCCTTTAATACTCTGAAAGAAGCGTAATATTGTTGTAAAATTTTTATATTTTAGTACTTATTATGTGGCACACATTGGCTCTAATTAGGTTGAGCCAGCAAATGACACCATGCCCACTTTTCTGCAATGCGTTTAAGGTACATTCAAGTGAGTAAATAGTGTTGGCTAAAATTTCATTCGAGAAATTTTTTAAAAGTAATACTTTCTTTTGAATTGCAACGGCTTATAAGATTAAATAATATTTCTACTCTAGAGCTAAAAAATATACTGAGAGCTACATATAAGACATCAATATATATAAATCATGATAATGGAAAAAGAAACGGTGATGAAAGTCGTGATTTTTGGAATAAGTCAAGAAACATCGTAATTTATATAGGCCCAACGTAATTTTTTAATTTTTTTATTTTTCATGTACTAACTTAAAATGAACAAAATTCGGTTACATGAGTTATGTTTGCCATTTTTCGACGCTTTTTGAAGTTCCCCGAGGTATTATTATCTTGTCATAGAATTTTCAATGATTTGAGCATTCTACTGTGATTTTTTTAAATATTCATTTTTCTATGAAACATTCAATATGATTTTAACTGTATTTGTGAAAACTCTGTTGTCTGCTTTATTCAAGCTATCAGTTTTGTTCGGCTGTAATTTTTGCTTTTGAGACAGTACTCATGAACGACTACAATGTAAGATCATTATTATTCATTATAAAATTTGTTGTTGACATAATTATGTTCGCTAAAAATTTAAACTAAAACTGATATTTAATGAATATATTTATGTATCGATCGCAACATGTGTCTAGTAGTGCTCTATTAGCTGAACAAAATCCTATTGCCAAGTCAGAATTGCTTGCCTCTGAGTGAAGACCTCTGTAGGCGAAAAACACCTGAAGTGCTAATGTTTATACTTCGGGAGCATTGTCTTTAAAAACTTTGCTCTTCTGCTTAGTTCCAGTGGGGCTGGGTAACGAATGAGGAGTAAAGTACCGCTGTATGAAGATGAAAGCGTAGCGATGTACTGAAATAGTGATGGCATCGAATGAGCTTGCGACCGAGACTCGTCCAGGTAATTAGAGAAGTCTAATTGACATGAGTAGCTAGGGTCAAGAGGGAGCTCTAGCAGGCTGGCTCGAATACCCTCTTCTATTCGGTGTCAGCCTGTAGCAGGCAGTGCGCTTTACAAGTGTTGGTTGATAGTGAGGGCATCTGCTCATGCGTGCGTGCACTAGAAACCGGTACCAAATCTGGGAGGCAGAACCATTGTACTACTGTAAAAAGTAGGGGCTCTGTCAGACTCTCTCCTAGAGGGACATCTTAGGACAATCGAAAGTTGTAGTAACATCTATTAAATCCTCAGACGCTTTGAGGTATCCGCTTTACCGGGGGCATGTAATCTTTAGGTGTGTTGTCTTATAATGCATAAAGGTACGATGTGGTTGCCGATCAGTTTAGTAACATGGACGGAGCAGGTGCATGGCGCCAATGTGTAAGAGTTAAAAGCTACGTGGTGCTAGTAACTATGACTACCGCAAGATGTAGCTTTGGTCTGCCTGTTAAGTGCAGTGTCACTACAGTTATTTTTATGAATTTTAATTATTCAAGCATAAACAACGTAATTTTTTTTTTCTTGCAATTAACTGAATTCACTATGTCTAGACAAAATATATTGCTGTAAGACATTCTATCTTTGTTAAATTTAATAAAATCTTTAATCAAATCTTTTTGTAGAGAAAACTGTTCGAAAACTATTTATGTACTCACTTTGATAATATGTTGTGCACGCATGTGTTTTTCCTCCAACAAATACGCACAATAAGGTGTTGTACACATGCGTGCACAATGTATTATAAGAATTTAAAAAATGTTAAAAAACGGTAATCAATTAAAATTAAGGTGGTTAACGTATTTAACTGTTCTTGTTGTATTGTGCATCATCTTCAAAAGCACGCCAAAGTTATGGTATTGATTATTTCAAGCTCATATAAGCTTTATAAATATTATTTATAAATTTCTTTCTTATTATTCCTCCTTACATACTGTATCGATATTGCAGATGCATTTTAAGTAAGCGTGTAAAAAGCCAGTATCAGTTGTGTTTGTCTACGATGAAGAGGACTAGCGTACCGTACTGATAAGTTCAGCTAGAGATCGAGAACAAAACAAGTTTTATTTCCTCCCATTTTCCAAATTTTTTTAATGTATATACACAATAAAGAGTTGTACATATGTGTGCACAATATGTTATAGAAACTAAAAAATTAAAGAAAATGGTACTCAAGCAAAATTTAGTTTGTTTTACTGTGCTGCGCAAATCATGATACCAATTTTATAACTTGACTAAAGTAGACAATTCAAAACTATTTTTCTCTCATTTAAAGTTAATAAGTTGATAAAAAAATAACGTATTAGATTATTAAATAGGTGTTTGTAGCAATAAAAGTGAATTTAACATTACCTTGTATGTTATATGACTTAAATATTATTATTAATGGTTAAAAATTGCGTATTATACGTACCTCTAGAGCAGGAGTATTAAGAAGAGTGTGTGTAGACTGGGTAACATCGGCTGCATGAAGACTATTGTGAAATGGGTTGTCCTTGATATAGTGATCTTCGAGAGTCATTGTAAAGTTGACAAAAGTTTTTGGTGGAATCATAATGAGCTTGAGCAAGTCTCGACTCTGAAAAGCCGTATAAGCAATACAGGTAAGAGGTCGGTTGTTGCTGTATTCACCTATCCTAAATATGTCTATGCCCCACATATCAATTTCACTGAGCACCTGTGAAAAAATGAGATTCATATTTTGTTTGAAATTCTTTAACTTACTTATCGTACATTACATTGTAAGAAATTCTAGCGCTACAGTAAATAAGCAGTTATATAAGTAAGTAATATAGTCAACGTTATGGCCGATTTTAGAGGCAGGGTTGGTGGTACAGCAAGGTGAAAGTACGTCAAACCCAAACATTTATAAGTGATCTCTGGCTTAGGTACCTAGCTGTATAATATTTTGAGAAACATGTAAGTTTACTAGGAGAAAAAGTAAGTTTGATCGATACCCAAAAAACAATAAAATTTATGCGTATTGCTATGTATTTCAACATTGAAAACTTTTATTCTTATTATTCTAAAATGCATATTGTACACAAAAAAGTTGATTATGTCAATAGCTAACGATAGTAATGAAACAAGTTAATGATTTTTTTAGCATTTTAAGTTATTTGGCAAAACATTTTATTTCAGTATTGAATTCATATTTTTAATGTGTATTGTATAACTAATTTTACAGTTTTCTAAAAACGCTATATTATCTAATAGTACTTAAAAAATAATTTTAATTTAAGTCGTAATCTACGGAGAAGCTGAACTATGGGGGCTCTGAACTCCTTATCCAGCTCCCCCTATAGTTTTGGTGGGAGAAAAGGCTGTTTGGTTAGTGGGTAGAGAAATATTGGTGGGTACAAAAGGTTCGAGCTATAGCAGGATTAGGCAGTGGGTGTGGATAAGCCGTATTAGATGGGTAGTAAGTGATAATGGGAAGAGAGGCTCGAGCTATAGCACCATCGGGTGGTGGGTGACGAAGAGGTGGTATGTGGCAAGGGACACTCGGAGAGTGACGTCAAAGGGCCGTGCACTCTAGATAATGGCAACTGAGACGTCGGATCATACTGAGAGATGACTCCCTTTCTTTTCAACTGCAAGTCGTCAGCTCTGATGTCAGGATGGTATGAGAGGAAAAGGCTACTGACAAGCTCAGCGTATAACAAGAGGAAGATGATCAAAAATAAAGGAGTACTACTTATTAGGAGGTATTTTTTTTCTTTGGCACATTGTTTAGGCACCATACTGTCTTTTTTTTCGTCTCAAAAGTGGGTGTATACAGTTTTTTGGGACAAAACGTATGCTTTTTATTACGAAAAGCAAAGTGCGTGTGCTCTTTAACTGTCGAATGCTTGCTTACTAAACGGAGTCCCTTGTAAGAGGATACAGCCACCTAATAAGATTAAGTTTTATATTATTAGAATAGTTTGTAAGCGGGTTTTTATAATAACGAAATATTGTATTTAATACATTTATTTTAAGTAGCTTCAAGAAAATATAAAAAATTCTCATGGTACGAACGGGAATTAATCATTAGCTTTTTTTATTTAATACATAATGTTTATCCTCCTTTGGGTGAGCAAATGTATTCAGAATACCTATTTCCCTTTTTTTTGGTTAAGATTCTGCAACATGCTTTCCAACAAGAGGTTTGCAGCCATTTTTGTGCTTCTCCTTACTGAGGATCAAGTATTTTGGCTTGCAGAAGTACAAACCCATGTTTTTGATATTAACTGCTCAATACTTACAAGATAACGGATGCTGTCAAAAGACTTCCATCTGCAGATAAAAGTGCCCTTATTTCTCTCATTTCACTCATTTGCCAGATGTAATTGAATTCTTTAATCTTAAATTTTATGCTTTTTTTCATCTTTGCCTACTTACGGTCATCGTTTTTGACATCAACATTGTTATCAGTTTCAGAGTCACTATCAGCATAAGCAGTATAAGATCTAGTAACGATATCCCTACTGGAAAGCATGTTACAAATTTTATTCTTATAACTATTAAGTGTGCCTAAAAACTTTTCATGTCTAATACAGTGTTACTTTCCACCAAAGAGCAAAGCCACTATTTAATTTGATGAGTTTTACTAAGTACGCATATTTTTTTTTACGTCGACTTTTTTCTGTCACATGAGTACTACACATCAAAGCCTTTGTTAAACATCTTATATTAAGGATATGATGCGATGTCATCACTACTGCTAATTGATAATCTCAATACACTTTGAGAGATTTGAAATAAGTGGCTGTATTGTCTTTATAAACGTAAATTCAATGTGCTCTTTATAACAGTGTTCAGATATTGCTGTAACCTTCATATGGAAAAATCATCCTTGAATTACCTAAGTCTATGCACTTTCTTCAGATAAGCAAGTACTTAAAAAGTATACATACCTACGTGGTCGACTGAGGTGCTTATAATGCACACTCTTTAGTTCTTTGTTCTTCTATTATCTTAATTCTATAACAGTTGCAAGGCAGCGTGTTTGCAGTATTTGATAAGAGTAATGGCTTACTATCTCAAGAACTAATAAGAACTTTATTTTGCTTTTTTGAATATATGCCCAACGATTTTTTTATTTTTTAAGGTTTTTATAAACTTATCATTTTCTGAGTAATCTCAACTGTCAAATTTATGAATATCATATTTTATTATTTTATAGATATCATAATTTTTTGTCTTATAAATAAGATTGTCTGTATCATTGTACAGAAGTTTACAATTATTTTTCAATATGGGAAGCATATAGTCGTCGTGAAAGTGATACCAAAAGGTCTTACATAGGACTAAGACACTAAGCCCAATGTATATAGGCTTCTTTGTTATTATCTATGTACGTTCTGATTACATGGCTACAAATTTGTCGTCAAAAATATCGCAGCTAAAAAATTTTGACTTTACAACACTGCTGCACCATAATGTCTATCGTGATTATTAGGAAGTTGTACATTAATACACTTTCTCTTGCTGTGTATTGTTTTTCGAAAGAATGCGTTAATAAATAGTGTGAAAAGCATTTTTTGAAACTCATAATTTGCCACTTTTCTCTCACTTCTGTTGTGATTAATAGATTATTTAAGCCACGTACTTTGCAAAATTTTTAAGCTTGATGAATTTTTGTTAATTATAATGCATGATTTATGGCTTTTTTGAGGGATTGATAATGAAATACATATCAATGCTTGTTATTGAATGTTGTCACTAATGAAGGCTGCTCCTAATCTGTAGCGGACATGTATTCGAAAAAATATGGCAAATTTTAATGAGAATGGTGGGGCTCCTCTGAATACTCTGAATCAACTTCTAAAATATATTCGTAAGCATGTTTGTTATTAATATTTAAAAAAAAAGTTATACCTGATGTTTAACATTTCGATTCACTGAATCCATCATCAGGGCGTTTTTAAGTTATTGCCCAGCTATACAAATTATTTACATCAATATGTGCTATATATCTTAAAGTTTCATCATTTAATAATTTTTTATTTAGTGGTTAGAAGTTTCCGTAAGTTCCAGAAGTCTTTAGCCCTCCCACATTATAATCATAATATTTTAAAGTCAGATAGTCAATAAAAAATTCGAAATGGACAAAATTGAGTATCAAGCTGTGATCAAATCTTTAACGAAAGAAGGCAATACGCCCACCGAATTTAAACATCGTTCGGATGATGTTTACGGGCAATTTTCTCCTTCGTATTCCACTGTCAAAGAATGAGCAAAACAATTTCGTTGGGGACGACGATCAATTAAATATGAACCTTATCCAGAACGCCCATCTGAGGCTATTACAGATAAAAATATTGAACTTGTGGAGCAAAAAGTACTGGAAGACAGACGGTTAAGGACTTAAAAGCTAGTAGCTATGACAAGTGAATACTATGCTTCCTTGTTGCATCAGTTGCGAGATGCTATTAAAAAAGAACGTCAAGGAAAACTGTCACAAGGAGTGTTGTTGCTTCATGACAATGCGCTGGCTCACACATCAGGTGTTTCAAAGGCTGCCGTTAAAGAACGTAGTTTCACTGATTATCCACCGTATAGGTAGTCTCAACTTGGCACCAAGTGACTATTATTTATTTTCAAAATTTAAGTCGGACTTATGAGGAAGAAAATTTAACACTGATGAAGAAGTGAAGTTAGAGGTTTTGTCACATTTTCAAGAGAAAAATTCAGACTTTTTTTGCTAGGTTATAGAAATGTTAATTAAGCGCTATGGAAAATGTATTGAAATAACGGTTGATTATGTTGAAAAATATTGTAGGTGGTTTGAGATTTTTTCTTCATTTTATAGTTCAGGCCGGAAACTTTTGAACTTTACTACGTATCTCTTACAGAATTGGCTCATTTCACTGAGTGTGCTTTTTTTAATGAACATAAGTATATTCATATCAATTATAAGTTCTAGTATCATCTGAAAAAAATCTATTGATCAATTACTAAGGCAGAATGGACATGTTCTTATTCGTCAAATTTGCTTGTTTTTTTTTAAATACGGCATTCAAAGTAAAGCTTGGAGTAGAAAAACTGTAAGCGGGATGTAATTTATACACTTCAAGGCAATTATTTGTAAGGTTTTTAAATATTTATGTTAACAGAAGTTTATCAGCTTTGAGGTAAGGATCTAAAATATGTTTAAGAACTGTAGTATAGAAAGTTTTCCTGACTGTTTAAGCATATGTATAATCTTTACTACTTATATGTACATCATATAATTTACTACGTAAGCCGTCTTTAAATGGAAGCGTCGTTTTTTCAACTTCTTCAAATGATGTTACACAATGATACGGAAGTACACTCTTACATCTTAGTATTTTTACTTTCGTAAAACAGTATGTTTCAAATTGACTGAAAAGATATTTTAGAGTATCATACTGCTCTTAGTATTATCCCAACATATCCAGCGATAATGACAAAAATCTATACAAATCAATAAAGCGCAAGTTTATACTTGTTATTTAAACGTTTTTTGTAGCAGAAACATATTTTCCTTTTGTTTTAAGTATGAGTTCTACTCTTACGATAAAGCAAGCTACAAGTTTTTTTGAAATAAGTAGGAATTTGAATTTCTGAGATTAGCAAGAACTATGGGTATGACTTGCAAGTCTTGATATTGTAGAATACATACATTGAGCCTTGATATCTGAGAAAAAAAGCGAATTTCAGTTTAAAAAA